TGTTGTACCAAATAGTGCTAGTAGAAATCAATTTGGAAATAGCATCCCTGAAGTCACAAATGTCACAAGTGATGGAAATGAGGACAGCCAAAATTACCCCATTGTGTAGCAAGACTGTCCAGCACTGAATTTGCCTTCAGGAAGACAAGGGGCCTAACAGGTTCAATTGAGCACCGTGAAAGATCTTTGTGAACAGTTGGCAGAAATAAAAATAACAGGCATCAGTCAAGAGTCATGGAGCCCTTATGTCTCTCCTATATTGGTGGTTTGAAAGAAGAATGGTTCCATGAAAATGTGCAATGACTACCGCATACTCAACTGGGGAATTATCTTTGATCACTGCACCACATGATACCCTACAATGCCTGTCGAGGGTGAAGTGATTCAGTGTGCTGGACTTGCACCCAAAATACAGCGAGAGGATTTTATCTGTTCGATTCTACGAATTCAACCGAACCTCAAGAACTGCATGTCGATGCCAGCTGTGATGGGCTAGGTGGGGTGTTGTATCAAGAGCATGACAGATATTACAACCTGTTGCCTATATGTGAGCAAAAGCCTCACCCCTGCTAAAAAGAACTATCCCAGCCACAAGCTGGAGTTCCTTCATTGTAGCGAAGTTGGATACCATGGAGCACAGATGTTCAGCTGCTCTATCTGGGTTCAGCTTCAGCCTGAAGTATCGCCCAGGGGCCAGAAACAGAGATGCCAATGCCCTGTCAAGAAGACCTTATGACCCTGAAACTCCCTCAGAAGAGTTGACCCAATTAACGCCAGAAGGGGTCCAAGCTTTGTATCAAGAAGTGGAACATCATGTCTTTCTAAGAAAGACTTGAGAAGAGACCAAATGGAAGACCCTCTCTGCAGTCTGACTCTGAAAGTTCTGGAAAGTGGATGTCCAGATCTACTGCTAGTAAACTCTCCAAAGGAGCACACCTGGTCCAAAAAAATGGGATAGATTACATGACAGGGTGGTCTACCAAAGGGGCACCTTGGACAATCACAAGCACCAAGAAACAGTGTTGGCTGCTTTGCATGATGACGATGGTCATTTAAGGCCCAGAAAAGCTTTCAAATTAGTGAGAGACCTATTCTACTGCTTTGTATGTGGTCTGAAGTTGAAAGCTACTGTCAATCCTGTGTACGTTGCATACAAAGAAAGACTTTGCCCTTCGGAGCTGCCCCAGTGGGCCACCTCCAAAGCCAAGGGCCTATGAGTTGATGTGCATTGACTTCTTATGCTTAGAACCCCTTATACCCAGCGGCTCCAAGGGGATGAGTGCCACATCTGTATGCAAATCAGGAGTTGTAACTTGGGTTATTTTATTGTTGACAGCAACCATGAAAACTCATCTGTGAAGAAAGTTGGCCGTGCCCAAATAATACACAGTACAAATTCTGTTTGGATGGGTAAGGCCACAGGTTTATATGTTAGACCAACATTGTATTCAAGTATCAAGTAAACCAACACATTGCATTTAATAATTACACTGTTTAAGTCTCAAGTAGAATGTGAGCACCCAATTATTATAACATCACCTGATTAATCTAAACTCACAGAGGGCTTAAAAGACAGAATCAGTTAGAGAATGGCAAGATAATCACCATCAATAAACCCATGACAAACTCAAAACATAAAGGGCAGGTGGAGACTTTCCTGGTAGCTGGGCAGCTTCAGGGTCCGTGATCTCACCCCTCACACAATCCCAAATACCCCTTTACACACCACTAACCTATCCACACAACCAATGGTAATCTTGTATGTAGCATAATTAATCAAAATCTACTTCTACCAGCGAGCCATACTTTCAGCAGTCAAGGCTCACTTTCCTTTTTGGATCAAAAGGGTTGTCACTCTAATCTGCATATTTGTTTTCGGTAAGGCAACTAGCATTTTGGTAGTAAATAAGCAAAGGGAGCGTCCATGTCTTTTCTAGAAAATATACTATATTGCCAAAAGTGTTGGGACGCCTGCCTTTACACGCACATGAACTTTAATGGCATCCCAGTCTTAGTCCATAGGTTTCAATATTGAGTTGGCCCGCCCTTTGCAGCTATAACAGCTTCAACTCTTCTGGAAAGGCTGTCCACAAGGTTTAGGAGTGTGTCTATGGAAATGTTTAACCATTCTTCCAGAAGCGCATTTGTGAGGTCAGGCACTGATGTCGGACGAGAAGGCCTGGCTCACAGTCTCCGCTCTAATTCATCTCAAAGGTGTTCTATTGGATTGAGGTCAGAACTCCACCTCCACCAGGTTCCTCCACCTCAAACTCACTCATCTATGTCTTTATGGATCTTGCTTTGTGCACTAGTGTGCAGTCATGTTGGAACAGGAAGGGGCCATCCCCAAACTGATCCCAAAAAGTTGGGAGCATGAAATTGTCCAAAATGTCTAGGTATGCTGAAGAGTTCCCTTCACTGGAACTAAGGGGCCAAGCCCAACTCTTCACCATAATCCCCCCTCCACCAAACTTTACAGTTGGCACAATGCAGTCAGGCAAGTACCGTTCTCCTGGCAACCACCAAACCCAGACATTTCCATGGCCGTGATCTGGGAAGACTGAATCTGCAATAGGCAAGCAGCTTGGTGTGAACAAATCAACTGTGGGAGCAATAATTAGAAAATGGAAGACATACAAGACCACTGATAATCTCCCTTGATCTGGGGCTCCTCGGAAGATCTCACCCCGTGGGGTCAAAATGATCACAAGAACGGTGAGCAAAAATCCCAGGACCACACAGGGGGACATAGTGCATGACCTGCAGAGAGCTGGGACCAACGTAATGAAGGCTACCATCAGTAACACACTACGCCGCCAGGGACTCAGATCCTGCAGTGCCAGACGTGTCCCCCTGCTTAAGCCAGTACATGTCCGGGCCCATCTGAAGTTTGCTAAAGAGCATTTGGATGATCCAGAAGAGGATTGGGAGAATGTCATATGGTCAGATGAAACCAAGATAGAACTGTTTGGTAGAAACACAACTCGTCGTGTTTGGAGGAGAGAGAATGCTGAGTTGCATCCAAAGAACACCATACCTACTGTGAGCAAGCATGGGGGTGGCAACATCATGCTTTGGGGCTGTTTTTCTCCGCAAAGGGACCAGGACGACTGATCCATGTACAGGACAAAATGAATGGGGCCATGTATTGTGAGATTTTGAGTGCAAACCTCCTTCCATCAGCAAGGGCATTGAAGATGAAACGTGGCTGGGTCTTCCAACATGACAATGATCCCAAACATACCGCCCGGGCAACGAAGGAGTGGCTTCGTAAGAAGCATTTCAAGGTCCTGGAGTGGCCTAGCCAGTCTCCAGATCTCAACCCCATAGAAAACCTTTGGAGGGAGTTGAAAGTCCGTGTTGCCCAGCGACAGCCCCAAAACATCACTGCTCTAGAGGAGATCTGCATGGAGGAATGGGCCAACATACCAGCAACAGTGTGTGCCAACCTTGTGAAGACTTACAGGAAACATTTGACCTCTGTCATTGCCAACAAAGGATATATAACAAAGTATTGAGATGAACTTTTGATATTGACCAAATACTTATTTTCCACCATAATTTGCAAATAAATTCTTTCCAAATCAGCCAATGTGATTTTCTGGATTTTTTTTTCTCATTTTGTCTCTCATAGTTGAGGTCTACCTATGATGCCAATTACAGGCCTCTCTCATCTTTTTAAGTGGGAGAACTTGCACAATTGGTGGCTGACTAAATACTTTTTTGCCCCACTGTATACAGCTCTCTAAAAATATTGTGGAACTCTTTTGTTGATGCTTTTATTTACTTTTCAGCATACTTTGACAACCTAGACACCTTTTATACTTGATTAAAAATAAAATAAACCTGTAAATTAACTTCTTTTCCTGCAGACTCAGCACAGAGTCCATCAGGAACACGACATGTGCTGCAGCAGCAATGCAATCAGCTTAATAACAGATTTCAAGAAACTATTTTTAGAGCCGTCAGAGGAGGAGGAGCTTCGAGGGGTTAATTCCTTCATTTGCATTAGTTGCTTTCTAATTAAATTAGTCTCTGTTCCCAGAAAGTTGCGGATATTCCATAATCCGAGCTTACCATCGATCATTTCAAGGAAATTAACTCTGCTCATACAAAAAATAAAAGCCAACAAGCCGGGCAAAATAAACAGTGGAAGTTCCAATATGTCCGTTGATATATGTTCTTCTTAGTTCACCTCTTTAACGTGTAACAGGTATTTCAAATTGTGTTCCTGATCATGTGATCAGTATAATTAGATAATCATAGCAATCACAGGGGAAATATGTTGCTTGATACAGTAAAAAAACAAACAAAACAAAACAAAATAAAACCCTGTCTACAGCATTAAATCTTTTCTGCAAAGACAATCAACATGGTAGCTTAACAGTGTAAAAATTCACAAAAAAAAACAAAATAATAATTGGTCCCTCATTCGTTATCCCTGTTAGGGTGTACTGTACATCTTATGGAGTATGGACACTGAAACATCTACCCCTCCAGAAGCAGGATGTGTAGCTTAACCTCCCTGGCGGTATGATTATTTCATATTTTTGGTGCTGAAAGCGGTACCATTATTCTGCATGGAAATATGTCGTTTTTTTTATTGTAGGCCTGTAATATTTAGGAATAACTCACTGAAATCTGTCCGAACAAGAGTCTAGTAAACACCCCGGGTATGATAAAATTTGAAACACAAAATCATAAATTATAATTTAATAAATAATCATAAAAAATAATAATATAATAATAATACATTTTAATTCAATAATATAATCAAACCAAAAACACTGAAATTTGAAATATAGCGCCAAATTTGCACATCACTGAGCAAAGTCGCAAAATTGTTTTCAGTGTCTTTGTGACGAATTTCCCCACAAATCATTATCACTCAATTCTGCAAGTGGTTCTGATTTACTATCGCTGTTTCTAGCTGATCTAAAACCGCTTTTGACCTAAAGGGACACTTTTTGGACGCCATGGACTTTTCTAAGTTTCCAGGCAGAAAGAACAGTCAAAATGCAGACGGGACAGGACAAAGCACTCGGGACAAAATGTATGTGAAATGGTTTGATACAGGAATGTTTTACTATGTAAAATCGTTTTGAAAAAAATGACATTTTTTAAAAATGCTCAAATTTTCCCGCTGCCGGCGGCGCCCGTACGTCCCGACGTCACAGGGACCGGAACACAGGAGCCGGATGCCGGCATCAGCCAGAGGAGATGGCCGGGGACGCTGCAGAGGACACATCGCGGGGGAGCGAAGGACATGGTAAGCGCTGCAGGACTCCCTATGCAGCGCCGCATGGTAAGCCCGAGTGTAGCTCGGGGTTACCGCTTTTGGTACAGACATTTTACCCCGAGCTACACTCGGGAATACCGTTAGGGAGGTTAAGGCACCCAAACAGGGGCACTGGAAACTTTTCTTTCTAATGCCCAATTATGCAGACGAAGGCCGCGGTTATGAGAAATCTGCATTAACACGGAGCTCCAATTTAGAAGCACAACTTCTTGGTACAATTACCTTCTCGTGCACTGTTCACTTCATGACTATATACTTGCTTAAAGGGTAACCCCACGTTTGTGGGAAAAAAAAGTCAAATAAAAAAAACAATATTATTGCATATACAGTTGCAGCACAAGCCATATTGTAATTTCATGTTATTAAACATTTTCAAGCTGCAGCCACTGTAATTTTCTGTAAATGCAATGCAAAATGCCTACCTGGAGGTGTTCTGTACACAGAATGTGTACAGAACACCCCCCAGAAACATTATTTCCTGCTTGTGTGATTGGTTCACTGATTTCCCAGGAGTCTGCACTAAAATACAAGTCAGATTTCAGGTATATCCTGCAAAAAAAATGTATTTTCCGTGAGATGCTCCCAATAGGAAATCACGTCTAAGGGATGCCACTGTCCTCATTAGAGCCCTGCAGGTGAAGCAGCTGATAGATACAGTGGGGAAAATAGTTATTTGATCCCCTGCAGATTTTATTAGTTTGCCCACTTACAAAGAAATGAAGGGTCTATAATTTTTTTATCATACAGTATATATTTATCATGTATTTTAAATGATAGAGACAGAATTAAACCAAAAATCCAGAAAGAACATATGATACAAATGTTATAAATTGAGTGGAAGTTCAGTAAGTAAAATAAGTATTTGATCCCCTACCAACCAACAATAATTCTGGCTTCCACAGACTGGCTATTATTACTAGAGATGAGCGAATCGAACATGACGAAGTGGAATTCGTTCCGAAGATTTGGAAAAATTCTATTCGCGACGAATCCGAAGATTAGCACGAATCGAATTTTCCCAAAAATGGCGGCGACATGTGTGGCGACAGGAGAAAATGGACAGAGAAGATGGGGCGGGGATCTCTGGGAAGGAGCGCAGACAAGGCGCGCTGACCCATAATGCATTCATGAGTCATGAATCATGACATGTGATGGCATTAGCCAATCAGCAGCCAGCCAGCACTGTGTAATGGAGCTATAAATCGCGGCCATCTTAGAATTCTCCATTAGCCTCCGGTCATTCAAGAGAGACAGACCTGTCTGTATTAAGGGACAGAGTTAGGGCCACAGAGACTTTAAGGCCACAGAATCGTTACTCAGGGACACAGAATCGTTACTCGGGGACACAGAATCGTTACTCGGGGACACAGAATCGTTACTCAGGGACACAGAATCGTTACTCAGGGCCACAGCTATCAAAGAATCGAAAATTTAAAGTGACATACACCCTTTTTTTTTTTTGGTGGCTGTCGTGCACAGTTGGTGCTGCAGTTTGCCGATTGTGCAAAATAAACTGACTTTTGCTTCACAACCACTATTGTACGTTCAAAGAGTTAAATCCATTCACACGCGGGTGGCGGTAATATTTTTTGGGTGATTAGTGCATTCCAGTGACATAACGTACAGTTTCCAGCCAACGGCAAGCTTCAATTGACCGATTGTGTACAATAAACTGACTTTCTGCTTCACAACCACTATTGTACGTTCAAAGAGTTAGATCCATTTACACGCCGGGTGGCGGTAATATTTTTTGGGTGATTAGTGCATTCCAGTGACATAAACGTACAGTTTACAGCCAACGGCAAGCTGCAATTGACCGATTGTGCTAAATAAACTGACTTTCTGCTTCACAACCACTATTGTACGTTCAAAGAGTTAGATCCATTTACACGCCGGGTGGCGGTAATATTTTTTGGGTGATTAGTGCATTCCAGTGACATAAACGTACAGTTTCCAGCCAACGGCAAGCTGCAATTGACCGATTGTGCTAAATAAACTGACTTTCTGCTTCACAACCACTATTGTACGTTCAAAGAGTTAAATCCATTTACACGCCGGCTGGCGGTAATATTTTTTGGGTGATTAGTGCATTCCAGTGACATAAACGTACAGTTTCCAGCCAACGGCAAGCTGCAATTGACCGATTGTCTAAATAAACTGACTTTCTGCTTCACAACCACTATTGTACGTTCAAAGAGTTAGATCCATTTACACGCCGGGTGGCGGTAATATTTTTTGGGTGATTAGTGCATTCCAGTGACATAAACGTACAGTTTCCAGCCAACGGCAAGCTGCAATTGACCGATTGTGCTAAATAAACTGACTTTCTGCTTCACAACCACTATTGTACGTTCAAAGAGTTAGATCCATTTACACGCCGGGTGGCGGTAATATTTTTTGGGTGATTAGTGCATTCCAGTGACATAAACGTACAGTTTCCAGCCAACGGCAAGCTGCAATTGACCGATTGTGCTAAATAAACTGACTTTCTGCTTCACAACCACTATTGTACGTTCAAAGAGTTAAATCCATTTACACGCCGGGTGGGCGGTAATATTTTTTGGGTGATTAGTGCATTCCAGTGACATAAACGTACAGTTTCCAGCCAACGGCAAGCTGCAATTGACCGATTGTGCTAAATATAACTGACTTTCTGCTTCACAACCACTATTGTACGTTCAAAGAGTTAGATCCATTTACACGCCGGGTGGCGGTAATATTTTTTGGGTGATTAGTGCATTCCAGTGACATAAACGTACAGTTTCCAGCCAACGGCAAGCTGCAATTGACCGATTGTGCTAAATAAACTGACTTTCTGCTTCACAACCACTATTGTACGTTCAAAGAGTTAGATCCATTTACACGCCGGGTGGCGGTAATATTTTTTGGGTGATTAGTGCATTCCAGTGACATAAACGTACAGTTCCAGCCAACGGCAAGCTGCAATTGACCGATTGTGCTAAATAAACTGACTTTCTGCTTCACAACCACTATTGTACGTTCAAAGAGTTAGATCCATTTACATGCCGGGGGTGGCGGTAATATTTTTTGGGTGATTAGTGCATTCCAGTGACATAAACGTACAGTTTCCAGCCAACGGCAAGCTGCAATTGACCGATTGTGCTAAATAAACTGACTTTCTGCTTCACAACCACTATTGTACGTTCAAAGAGTTAGATCCATTTACACGCCGGGGGTGGCGGTAATATTTTTTGGGTGATTAGTGCATTCCAGTGACATAAACGTACAGTTTCCAGCCAACGGCAAGCTGCAATTGACCGATTGTGCTAAATAAACTGACTTTCTGCTTCACAACCACTATTGTACGTTCAAAGAGTTAGATCCATTTTTACACGCCGGGTGGCGGTAATATTTTTTGGGTGATTAGTGCATTCCAGTGACATAAACGTACAGTTTACAGCCAACGGCAAGCTGCAATTGACCGATTGTGTACAATAAACTGACTTTCTGCTTCACAACCACTATTGTACGTTCAAAGAGTTAAATCCATTTACACGCCGGGTGGCGGTAATATTTTTTGGGTGATTAGTGCATTCCAGTGACCTAAACGTACAGTTTCCAGCCAACGGCAAGCTGCAATTGACGATTGTGCTAAATAAACTGACTTTCTGCTTCACAACCACTATTGTACGTTCAAAGAGTTAAATCCATATACACGCCGGGTGGTGGCGGTAATATTTTTTGGGTGATTAGTGCATTCCAGTGACATAAACGTACAGTTTACAGCCAACGGCAAGCTGCAATTGACCGATTGTGCTAAATAAACTGACTTTCTGCTTCACAACCACTATTGTACGTTCAAAGAGTTAAATCCGGTTTTATTTTTGGGGTGTTTATTGAATTAAAGAGTATGTCAGACAACACGCAGAGGAGTGGCAGAGGAGGCAATGTTTCAGGAGCGAGCAGACGTGGCAGCAGAGGAAGGGGTCGAGGCAGCACTAGTCGCAGCCAGAGGCCAGTGCTCCCGGTGTCATCCAGCGGTCGTGTCTCCACCGACAACCCTGCCGTCATCGATTGGTTGACTCGGTCGTCTTCCTCTTCCCAGGTCACCTCTGACACCTACAGCCAACGGTCGGTGGGTACGTCAGACACAACCGTTAGTTGGCATGGCCCGGGAGCAAGCCCACTGAAATCACGTGTCCTCGACCTGCCCCTGTCCTTTGGTGTTCCCTCACCAAGCGAAGTATCGCATGCTGTGGGCTCAGCCCCACTGTACAGTGAGGAAGAGCTAACAGAGGGGGCGGTCAGGAACGGGGGGGGAGACATCCGCCTCTTCAGCAGCCAGGCGAAGAAGTACTGGCGAGGAGAGTGGCTCGGTAGCCGGTCTAGAGAGACAGGTCTGTCTCCTGACCCACACGCAGCCGAGGGGGCTAGTAGTGACGCGGAGACCCTAATTGATGATGATGAGGCTGATCGCACTTGGCAGCCTCGTCGTCATCAGGCTATTGCTTCCGCATCATCAGGAGAAGAGGGTGCCAGCTTGCCAGCGAGCAAAACAGTCGGTGGGTTGCCCAGGAGGCAGCAGGGTCGCAGCAGTGTCAGTGGAGCCAAACGGCCACGGAGTAGAGCACCAGCTCCACTGCAGCCTACCACCACGGCCAGTAGTGGTGCCGGGTGTGCACGGAGGAAGTAGCAGTCAGCCAGTGAGGAGTAGCGGGGGCAAAGTTTCCTACTCGGCGGTGTGGCAATTTTTCGTCAAGCCGCCCGAGGAAGTAAACGTAGCCGTATGTCGACTATGTGGCCAGAAAGTCAAGCGTGGCCAGGGGGCCAATGTTGGGACTACAGCGTTGCGTCAGCATATGCAGCGTCGCCATTCGGTGGCCTGGGAAAACCGTGATAAAGATACGGCGGTTCTGCCTGCCCCAGCCCCCGCTCCATCACCCGCTCCGTTACTTGCTCCGTCACCCGACGTCAATCGCCCTCTATCAGCCAGTCAAGGCTCCAACACCTCTGCTGAGGGGAGTTGTCGCTCGTTGGCATCTTCCGCTCGTTCAGATGCTGCTCCTTCTCCTGCTACTCCTCTTCACGGA